AAACCGTCTCAGCACATGGGCTAAACCAGGCTGAGAGCAACCAAAGGGGCTCAAGCCTGTTGGTGAGTTAAGGGGATGTCTACCCCAAGCATGTGAAGACTTTTCTCCAGCAGAATGACCAGATGAGAATAACTTCTTCCAATGGCCATAAAGGCACCTGAAGCAGGTACTGTGGAGTACTTTGAGCTTGGTCACGCATCAAAGACACCATGGTCATCCACTGCATCCTGGGCCATCAACAGTTGTCCTGACTTGTGCCCTGCCCCTGAACTTTGATGACTGAGGAAGAGAGAGAGAGGCTGAGGACTCTGTATAATTCTGCTCCACCTCAATCGAACTCACATCCAAGTTAAGACACCCCTCGTAATGACATTGGTCCTCTTTGGAAACGAAAGGTGAATTACAATGACGTCTTGTCAATCTCACCTCTTAACCGTCTCTTTCATGTTCCATCTTTTTCCCTCCAACACCTTCCTAACACACAGAGACAGAACTAGGGTGAAGTTACTAAGATTCTGCCACAGGGAACTTACATATGTATCAAGGTTTGGGGTGAGGATACACTTCCGGTCACCTACACTTTCTTCAAGAATGCCTACTCTGCTTCCTTGCCCAACTTTGGGATGCCACACCCAGAATTTTATCCTGTCTCCCATGGCGCACCTTCCTAGTCTACTCTACCAGCCACTTCATCTCCTTACCTTCTTCTGGGAGTTGGAGGAGGCAAAGATCATTGCTTAAGCTGTAGGATCTGGGCTTAGACTCATGAGGGAATGGGCACCTTTATTCCAGCCATGACTGTACCCAGCCAGGGAATATGGTGTTTCACTCTGCACCACCGAATTTGCCCTACTACAGAGTGAATAGTTAGTTAGAGCATTGTTCACATTAGCAATAAATACCAAGTAATTTAAAAGGCGTTGGGGATGTTAACCACTGGAATAATCAAGAAAGGCTTCAGGACTATTACAGTAGCCTCCTAATGGCAGTGTCCACCTCTGCTCTCTTGCCCTTCCAATGTCTCCTGTAAACACTTGCAGGAAGATGTTGCTCTTACATAGAATATATATGACTGGGAGGACCTGAGCATGTTTGGAGGCATACAGAAAGGAGTCAGTGGTGAAGACTTGGAGATAATAGGAGTTTGTCTGGATGAATAATTTCTCTCTCTCTCCTCTTCCCCTTCTCTTCTTCTCTCCTCTCCCTCCCCCTCTCTCTTTGCCTTTTTACGCTTTTTTTGAAGAAGAAAGATCTATTATCGTGTAAAGGCCATCACCATTACCATCATGGACCCTTAAAACTGCTTTTGCTCTTCCAGAATTATCACACTTCATCTTCTTACTGCCTCTTCTTTTAGACAAATAGTGAAGCCCTGTTTCTCATACTGATTGTTCATTAACCTCACATTTGGCAATTTTGTATCTAGCAAAATATATTGATTTGTGTGGTTTCTCCTGGTCTATTTCCCTTTCCCATTTTTGGTTCTGAAAACAAATGTGTGGATATTTAATTAGATGCTTCCACATGCAGTCCATCTTGGGGCAGTAAGCATGGTGGCTTCTGCAATTCACCCCTAAATTAAGCAATCTTCTGATTAGGGGAAGGGTTGTCAGCATCAAGCACGGAGGGGTGGTCTTTCCTTGGGCTGATTTGTAGAATTCTGAGCTGTGGCTCTTTTTTCTCCACTGTGACACTTATCTCCACATTCATCAAAGAAACCAAGGCTCCTACAGGGCCTTCATTTCCTGGCCAGATAGATTTACAGTTTGCTGCAACTGGATGTAAACCGGCATTTCACAACCTCCTGGGTATTTAACAGAGAAAGCAAAAGAATGGTGGTGAGAAGCAAAATTGTCTTAACAAACATCCCAGGTGGAAGGACTAAGTCTTACAGAAAATACTTGGACAATTTTCTTTCCTCTGGAATATTTGACATGTGAGGTTCCGAGTCAATGCACAGCAAGCTGTGATCACACATGAGACCAAGAAAGGCTGGAGAAGTGAACTGTGGGATGGTGGAAGAACCAAAATCAGTTACAGAACGGGAATTTACAGATAAGAAACCTGAGCTTTTCGTTGAGTTTTTTTGTTGGAAGTTCTAGAAGAGGTTCAGCCTTTGCAAGAGACAATGAAGTGGTTTCAGCTTTATAAAAAAATGATTGTTTGAAAGCAGTCTAAGTAACTGGCCCTCTGAAGGTATGGGAGAAAAAGCAACATACTTGGAGTCAGAAGATGTGGGTTCAGATCCCAGATCTGCCTGCCTTGTGTTACCTCTGTGGTCTCGCACAAGTTACTTAATCTTTTTTTAACCTCAATTTCTTTATTATATTTGAAAGTTGGTCTCAGTAGCACTTATAGTGCCTTCTACCTCTGACTTTAAAATCCTAATGTAGCCTTAGGAAAAATAAAGATCACATTCCTGTAAGCTCCAAAGTCATGGTTCTTATTAGGCTAGGATACTAAGTAGACAGCTTTGCCTTGGAATCATGGCTTGGGCGAGGAGGAGATGCCACCACAGATAGCAGGTAAATGGGAGCTGCTCAAATGCTCTTTGTTGGAGTTCTGTGCCTGAATGCTTCTATTACCTTGCCTGACAAGGGCTTCGCGTGATCTCGACTCTGGCTTATCAAACTGATTTTGAATTCATTGTTTGTTCCCAGCATCTGTTTCACCTCTAGATTCAGGTCTCTGCTTCCAAACCCCGTCTAGCGACCTGACCCCTCATGGCCTTACCCCTATGTTGTCCCCACACAGCTTTTGCTTTACTGAAATGGAGCTTAGCCCAGTCATTCCCAGGCCTTCCATCTGCCTATGATAGTAATACAAATCAGCCTGTTTAGTAGCACTCACAATGAAATACTCTCAACAAGTGATATTTTCTCTGTGACCAAACTCCACAGTTCAATGCTTAAAAATGATAAAGGCCAAAAAAAAGTTCAGTCTGAACTATTTCCTTGTTCAAACACTCTCCATTCAGCTAAACCAGCCCCTTCATGTTCCCATGTACAGTGTTCTACTTGCCATGTCCAAGCCTTTTCATTCAGTGAAATGGCCATTCTCCTCTCTGCCTCTGGTGTCCTCCCTTCTTTAAAAGATCCATTTAAGTGATGCCTCCTACAAGAAGCCTTTTCAGATTGCCCTATTTTGTAATGTTTTACCATTCTAATGATTTTGCATTTATTTTTTGTATATATTTCGTATTTACTTATGTGTGCATCTTGTTTCCAACTCTGTAGCACCCAGTGACTGGTGCTTCATAAATACTCATAAATACACAAACCCCTTGAGGGCAGAAACTGTCTTTTGTCTCCCTTATTTGTCTGCCCCATAGATGGGTCTTCTGGGACTTCTTTGATAAAAGGAACTCCGGGGTCCTGAGACTCTCACCAGTGCAAGTCAGCACCTTCTCAGTGATTTCTAGTCTTGGAGACTTGCCTAGAGGGGTGGGGTCAAACTCACACACAAACAAGGACCATTAAGCCATACCTAAGGATTCCTGTGGGTCACACTTTCATTGCCTTAGAAATCCCAAACCCCCGTGTTAATAGTATCTGTTTTCTGATATTTTAATTTCCTTTGATCAATATTTTTCAGTTACATTTGAATTTGATTCTGCCACCATCTGGAGCACCGTGGGCAGCATTTCCTGGCCCAGCAAGCTGGTGTGTTTGACACCTGTGCCCTAGAGCACGGAGGGGTTAAGAAATTTGATCAGGGTCACAAAGTATATACATGTCACAGGCTGGTCTTAAGCCTGTTTGCTACCTTTGAGGTAGTTCTGTATACACGAGGGAGGCTTGTTGAATTGAATGAAACCCATCGAGGCAGCGCTTTGAATGTAGGTCTGAGACCATCAGAAGGGGACTGATGAATGTCCCTTAGTTCTCCCTTAGTCTCTTGCTGAAGATGTCTCGTGCATATGTACTCATACACACTTTCTTTACCAACATCCCTTCCAATCCTGGACAAAGGAGCCATCGGATTTTATAGCAGCTCTACTTCTCATGCTTCACAGAATCATAGGATCTCACAGTTGGAAGGGCCCTCAGAGGCCACCATCTAAGACAACATCTGCCTGACCCAGAATCCCCTCTTTAACACAAAGTGTAAGTGATCATTCTTGTGGTGGCTGAGCCATTTCAGTCAATTCCAATTCTTCATGACCCATTTGGGGTTTTCTTGGCAAAGATACTGGAGTGGTTTACCATTTCATTCTCCAGCTCATTTTACAGTTGAGAAAATTGAGGCAAATGGGGTTCAGTGACTTGCCCAGGGTCACATAGCTATTAAGTATCTGAGGCCAGATTTGAACTCATGAAAATGAGCCTTCCTGACTCCAGGCCCCACACTCTATCCATTGTGCCACTTAGTTGGCCCAAGGGGTCATCCAGTCTGTGCTTAAAACCCTCAAGGGAGGGGGATCTCCCTTCCTCTTAATGTAGCCTACCCTACTGTATTCTCCAACTGTCAGTTTTTTTTTCCCAGAGATCAAGCCCCAATCAGCTTCTCTGAAATGCCTGTTCCCTTGTGGCCTGCTCCCCCTTTCTGATACCAAGAAGAACAAGTGCAATCTCTCTTACTCTACAGAAGGTGAAATGACAATAATGACATGACTGCATTTCTCTCTAGGCTTGCATGCATGCATGTTTTCCTTTTGGTCTCACACATTGCAATCTGATGTTCCATCGTTCAGAGTTTAAAGGACCAATCTATGCAAAGCTATGAAACTCATGACAGCAACATGGTATTTTCTGAAAGGCAATTCTGCTCTGCTCGATTCTTAATTAAGCCGGCGGAATTATGTAACCACACATAAACCCTGGATGGCCTCAGAGTTATTTTCATTTGAAAACAACAGTGGGGCGAGAGCTGAAACTTTCCAAGCAAAACCAAAGGTCCATTCCCAGTCAGGCAGAGCTCCTTCCCTCCAAGAGTTCAGTAAGAATAGAGCCCTGTGGGCTGAACTGGAACTAAGAAAGCACACGGGTTCAGAACCTTACCTCTTCCAGGACATCAGCCAGCTTGCTTAGGATCTCTTCAGGGAGGCTCTGGAAGGTAGGAACACTGGAAGACAAAAAGGAAGGGAATGGTCAATAGCCAAGCTCCCCTCAGCTTTGGAAAAAAGAAAGAACAGTACATTTGAAAGAAAGAAGGACAAATAATCTACTTTTGCATATTCTTCCTTGAAGTCCATGGGAAGCAGATTCAGTTTTCTCCTCTGTATGATGAAGATAATAATTCTGTTCTCCACCTTCCTAACACCTCTCTCATATGCCCTCTTCTGTTTCCTAACATTGCTGCCCTCCTAGGGCAGGGTCTCATCACCTCATACCTGGATCATTGCAATAGCCTCTTGGTTGGGCTGCCTGCCACAAGTCTCGTCCAACTTTGGCCCGTCTTCTGCTCAGCTGTCAAAGGAATCTTACTTTTAAAAATATTTTATTGTTTCCCATTTACATGTAAAGGCAATTTTTAACATTTTTTTAAGTTTTGAGTTTCACATTTTCTCACTTTTTCTCTCATCTTCCTTACCCTGAGATGGTAAGCAATTTGATATAGTGATACATGTGCAATCATGTAAAACAGTTCCACATTAGTCATGTTGTGAAAGAAGACAAACGAAAAGGGGAAAAAAAATTTAAAAAAAAGTGGAAAAAAGTATGCTTTGATCTGCATTCAGATTCCACAAAGGAATCTTCCTAAAGTGCAGGTCTGACCATGGTGCCCCTGCCCCACACTCAATAAACTCTAGGTACTATCTCCTCCAGTATCCAATATAAATCCTCCATGTGACCTTCTAAGTCTTTCATTTCCTGTCCTCCCCACCCCCCCTCCCCAGACTTTCCAATCTTCTTCCACCTTACACCACCCCTCTGAACTCTGGGATCCAGGGACACTGGTTTCCTTGTTCCTCCAACAAGACACTCTTATCTCCTGACTTGGGACATCATGTCTGCTTGTCTGGAATGTCCCCATGTCTGGAATGTTCTCGCTCCTCATTTCCACCTCCTGAATGGCCAAGCTTCCTTTGAAGGCTAGCTAAATTAAGAGTTCTTACAGGAAGCCTTTTCCTAACCCCACTCAATCCCAGTGCCTTCACTCTGTAGATTATTTCTAATTTGTTCTGTATAGAGCTTAATTTGTACATAGTTGCTTACATGCTATCTCCCACATTAGATTGTAAGGTTCTTGAGAGCAGGGAGGGAGAAGGAGCAGGTTTTAGTTTTCAAAAGGTAGTAGATTTCAGTAGTGGATGGTAAAATCAAGAAATCAAGAAATCAAGAGCCTTGTTGTTGTTGTTGTTGTTATTTCCAGCATTTTGCATAGTACCAAGCACATAGTAGGCACTTAAGAAATATTTATTGATTGACTAATCTAAAAGTTTTGGTTGGAGGAAAGCATTTTCCAAACCTAAAAGCACTTATAAAACTATGAGCTACTTGAACTCTTTTGTCCCCAAAGCCTTTCTATTATAATTTTCAACGTCATTATTTATTTTATTTATTATTTTACATAGGCAATGGGGCTTAGTGGATAGAAAGTTAGAAAAAAAAAGACCTGAGTTCAAATTCTACACACTGGCTGCATCATCCTGGGCAAATCAATTAACCTCTCTCTCTGCCAGGAACCTAAGAAGCATCAAAGAAGGTTCTGATTGTATTGGTATAGAGTTTCCTTAATTGGGAGTTCTCTATACAATTCAATCATGGTCCAATCCCTACCATTATGACTATTTTAGAAGCATTCAAACATTATTTAGTTGCTTCAATACAATTTATTACAGTTGTTACGTTACTATTATTATTATTCTTATATTCAATATGACCTATTTTTTTTTTAAAGTTGTTGATGCCAAAAATGGAATATGAATGGAGGGAAAGACACCAACTCTATGGAAGATACTTTCATATTGGAGAGGTCGTGTGGTACAAGCAAAAGAATATTCATCTGTGGCCAGAGGACCTGTGCCTTATCCTCCCTGGGTGATCTTGGGCAAGTCACTTTCCTGGGCCTCAGTTTCCTCATCCATAAAATGAGACAAGTCTTTTGTAACTTTAACTCTATGACATCTCCATTTTTAACCAATGTATTGGAAGGATGGGTGAATCAAAAAAACCTAAAACCACCAGCATCACTTGACTCAGTAGTCAAATAGAAAGATATGGCAGCTAGGGTGGGGAGAGGATACCAAATTTTGACTTCTTTGATAAGTGACCTGCCGTTATTCAGTCATTTTCAGTTGTGTCTGACTCTTTATGACCTCTTTTGGGATTTTCTTGGTAAATATACTGGTGTGGTTTGCCATTTCCCCCTCCAGCTCACTTTACAGATGAGGAAGCTGAGGCTGACAGGGTTAAATGACTTGCCTAGGGTCACGCAGCTAGTAAGTATCTGAGGCCAGATTTGAATTCATGAAAATAAGTCTTCCTGATTGCAAGCCCACTGCTCTATCTACTGTGCCACCTAGCTGCCACATGGCATACAGAGAGCACTTCAATGTTTGTGATGCACCTGGCCCTCACTGGCTCACTTGGAGTGCCCATATCTGTTGGTGCCATTTTGTAGATGAGGTAACAGACTGAAAGACCTGAAGTGCTTTGGCCATCCTCCCATTGCTTTTAATTGAGGATTCTGGGCACTGAGCCCAGGGTCTTCCTGACACAAAGTCCAGCATTCCTCCACCACACTGCCTCTCCAATCAAAACCAAAGCTCTTGATTTCAGTACATTTTGAGGTTTTAATAAGCTAGAACTCCAGTATGTCATGACTCTGCTTTCAGACTCATAAGAAATTTCTGTTTTAGGCATGTGCCAACATACACCTAATGAAAATAGATGCCTCTTGTTTTGGTCTGAAATCCCCAAATCTTCTTTTATGTGGCTACCAAAGTGTATAACACTTCAGTGTATAGTATTATAATCTATTAACAGAGCTTCATGTTTTGTTTTGTTTTATTTCTCCATAATGCCACAGTTCCCCAGGGCCATGCCTGCCATCAGATTTATTCTTTCCATCTGATGGGGAGGCAGATTTTAATTTTCAAAAAGTGGTAGATTTCAACAGTGCATGGTTTCCAGCTCAGTCAGAGACAGAAATCAAAAGAGTTATTGCAACGGTTTAAAGGGTTGAAATTCTGTCCCCTTCTTGTTTCTTTAATGAGCTATATTCAAATTCCCTTTTCCCCTTTGAGACACAAGAGGAATTTGGGTCCCAGCATGTCTCTGGGGAGATTTGTTGAAAATGCTGACTTATTGCAGCATTTTCTTCATTTCAGCAGATCCCACACAAGATGGGGTCATTTCTATTATTCAAATAACCCTCCCCTTTGGTCCATAACATGAACAATTAGATCCATCCTATTTATTTATTTATTTACCAGTATGCTAAATTACCCAAAATAAAAGTGATATTTATTGGATCTCATCATATGCAAAATGAAAACAAAAACATTAAGCAGATTTTTAATACTGCCTTGCAATATCTAACAGCACTTGTTATCAACTTAATGTATTTGATTAATAAATGTTCTTAATTAGAATCCTTTCTCCAACATTCTCACTTTATCACAGAAGCATGATGAAAAATTAAAGAAATGGAGAAAAGCTACTAGCAGATGCTTGTGATGGTATTGGGAGTTCTTTCTGCTTTGATGTTTCCAGGATCCGTTGGAGTGGGTGCCTCATACAGGGCAGGGAAGCCAGCCTCTCTGAAGCAATCACTGGAGGCAGTAAGTGTTACTACTATCTCACTTTTGTGGAGCTCTGACTTGGGGATATACGATCTTAGACGGTTTTAAATTTGGGGTTCCTCCCAGAATATGGTCAGTGGATTCTCTATTATGCTTTTGGCCTCCGGTTCTAACATTTCTGGGAAGTTTTCTTTTAGAATTTCTTGAAATATTGTAACCAGGTTCTGATGTTTGCAATGCCCCATCCTATCTCCATGTGCAATGACCTATGGGTAGGGGATGGGGCAGGGAGGATCTCTGTTTCTTGATGCTACCTACCATGCCTTGGCCAAGATCCTGCTTGTTTCAAGTCCCAACTACTGTAGTTAGCTCCTGCACTACCCCTACTCAAAGGACCCAAAGTCTTTTACGTCCCATGAGAAGAGATTGCATACTGGCCCCGCTGGACAGTGACCACTCAGAGCACCCATAGCTCTATGGTTCTATGAGATCACACTGGGTACAGACCCTACTTTACCATCTCTACTCAGAAAGCCCTGAGGCTTCACAGCATTTGCTTGTATTGGTAGCTTCCTCCACTGTGGAAACTCTTCTGTGAGCATTTGTAGCCTTCTGACCTGGTTCAGTGTGAAACTAGATGAAGCATCTTCTCTTTGGCATTCTCTTTGACCATTCCTCTTACTGCCCTTTCAGACATATTAGCTGGAAATCTGAATTTTACTGTTACCTTTCACATTGTCAACCTAACCCTGACTCTCACTCCTGTTCTATTGCAATAATCTCTTAATGGGTCTTTCTGTCCTTAGTTTTTATGGCCCCATCCTGTCCTGCATACCCCTGAGAGATTAATCTTCCCACAGCATTATTTGGATTGAGTCTCTCCCCTGACCCAAATCCTTTAATGGATAGCCATTGAAATAAAGATACATGCACTCTCTACTTCACAAGGTTATTGTAAAAAAAAAGAAAATAAAAAAGTACTTTTTACAACTTTAGAATGCTTGAAAAAGGACAAGCATTTTTATTACCAAATAAAATCCAGATTTCTCAGACTTGCATCCAAAACTTCCCAAACACCTCACCCACATACCTGGCAAACTGGAGAGGCAAAACTTCACTCTCATGACATGTCTTTGGACAGGGAGGATCTGAGGAAGAATCCTCAAATTTACGGCTAGCTAGGGCAGCTTGGTGGTGCCGTGGATGAACGCTCAGCCTGGAGCCAGGAAGACCTGAGTTCAATATGTTTTCAGACACTTACTTGCTGTGTGACCCTGAGCAAATCACTTAACCCTGTTTGCCTCAGTTTCCTGTAAAATGAATTGGAGAAGGAAATGGCAAATTGTTCCAGTATCCAAAAAAGCTCCAAATGTGG